TGCAAGAAAACAATCAAGCTCGGAGAGCACCAAGGATCCCTCATTTCAACCCTGAGCTACAAGTATTCTCCTTTATTGGTGCTGCCATCTGCTTCAGAATTGGCGACCTCGTATGCTGATGTTTCCCATTGTCCAGGCCACCTCAAACAGCCAAGCATTAACCATACTGAGCCATCAATAGCATTAATTTCTTGGAATACTTTCTCTTTCCGGCATTTCAAAAGTTTCCTTCTACTATAACCTTATAGTTGCCTTGTAGATTTGTTTCTTCATTCATTCACATTTCTCTGTATGAATTCTATTCTCCCCCTGCTTTTATACTAACTACTTCTAATGTTTTTGCAACCTTGTTTTCAACTCAACATTTTCTTTATTTTAGGGTGATTCTATTTACACAAAAATATAGTACAAAAAACAAATGAGTAAATTAATATGGAAAACTGGACTCAGAAGGTACACTGTACCATGGTAGGCCCTTGCATTAGCTAAAGCTAAACTGCTTTGCAGGAGTGGCTTGCTCTTTCAAATTATCCCAAACTATTGGAAACTTTAGCCTTATTTGTTGATAGATGAAGTTTCCTAGGCAGATTCCATCTGATTTGAGTAACTGTATGTGAGAGGCACTATAGAACTGCTAACAGATTGTGTATATGCTGCATTTTCATCAGTAACCAAATCTGACCTTGGAAATGAAATGAAAACATACCAGATCAAACTCAACATGTTTCATACATACATTTCTGCCTGTCCATACATTAAAAATTCAGAGGAAAAATATTTAAGGGGTAAATTATGTCTGCCAAATGTCTGAACAGCTGCCTTTAAATACAAGGACACAGGAGAATATGGGCATATGTGTTCAGCATAATATTTTCCCTAAAATGTATTTAATTATTCTATTTCTGATCATACAAAAAAAAAACTGCAACAAAGTTTGTGGGATCATTATGGTGGAAAAGCCTTACGGTGTAATACTTGTATTTTTCTCAACTTAAAGAAACTGTGAATATTTCAGAAACAAAGCGACCGTATGAAATGAACTCTTTCCGCCCTGAAATTGTTCTGGAAGTAGGGAAATTTTGTTTAAGCTCATTAATCAAATTTCTTTGTTTGACCAGCCAATTCCGTTACCTGCTGAGAAGAGAAACTACTGCAAATTGATTGTTGCCATGTAGGGTAAAAATTTGGATCAGCTTTATGATGAGTAAAGAGGGGAGATATTTATTAAAAAGAAGAATTGAAAAATGTGAGAACCACTGAGGAATTCCACTGAAAAGAGGTATTCAGGAGACCCTGGGAGTGATAGCATCAATCCTTAGACTGGGAACTAACAAAACATCCCCACTGCACCCAACATGGATGGCAGGTTAAAATGCAGTAAAATCAAGCATATCTTTTTCTCTTGAATTACAGATATACATGGACCTAGTACAATAGTTAAAATCCAGTATTGCCCTTCTTATTTTGAGGAAGGAGTAGGAAGAAAATCTAATATAATTGGCAGGAGTTATTCTTCACACACAGCTGTTCATTTAAGTGTGAATTTTTTATCTTGAAGAGGAACAGGGAAAATAAATCAAAGAGAAAAGGGGCGTGAGTAACTGAAATTAATAAAAGAGCAAACAAAAGAGAGTAAAAAACAGAAACATATATGAAACACTAACATATGCATTGATAATTCACATCTGATCCATGGGTCTATTAGATTTTGCTATTTGTTTAAAATATTTCACTACAGCAAATGCTACTTTATGTAATTACTGTGGCATCTCTGCATATGTTCTCTAAGAAGCAGACATGGATGTACTAAATGTACTAAGGCTAATTCTTTGTACAACTCAATTGCTTGTCATCAGTTTATTGCCATGATGGTTATAACTCTGCAAACATGAATAACAAATCATATTGGCTATTGGGTATGGCAAAGTAGTTGATGTGACTTTTGTCAATGTTGTACCTAGTGAGAAATAAATTTGATAGCTAGTTAAAATTAAAGACTATCGTATAAAATTTGTGAGTCAAGCCGACTTTTAGTTGTAGTATAAGGATAACGCTATACAGATAGCACTGAGCATTAGTTAATAGCTTTACTTACTGATGGGAATTATGAGATACAAACCAGGAGTACTGAAAAACAGGTACCGAATGTTTAAAGAGAAAACATTTTAAAAAGAAATTTTGTTAACAGAAAATCAAATGGTTATGGACAACCAAATCATCTTCTTTTTTTCTGGGGGATCATATTCTCCAAAGCTTGTTTTGTAGCTTTTCACATGTGTATAAACTTTTTTGCTAACCCAAAAGTGCTTTTTCAAAAGACAACCGGACTTTGTTTTTTCTTGAAGATGTTTCGCTTCTCATCCAAGAAGCTTCTTTAGCTGGATGTGAAGCAAAGCATCTTCAAGAAAAAAAACAAGTCTGGTTGTCATTTGAAAAAGCACTTTTGGGGCAACCATGATTGGGATGACTGAGAATCTCCATAGGCTTTTTTGCTAACCTTTTTTAAAACCTGCTTCAGTACTTTCAGAAGCTGTAGTTTAACTACTGCAGTGATCATAACAGACATTGGGTGAGGAGATGCAACACTGAGAAGGAAATGGAAGGAAAGTGGCTGTTCTTTGTGGTTCTAAATATCAAGGATTATCACGGAAGCATTTTTTATTTTCCTCCCAATTTACGGTGAATGGAGCGAAGATGGCATGTGCATGTTGGATGAAAGTTTGTGATAGTGGTTTGTAGCATGAGGGGTTGGTGTGAGCTGTGTGAATGGTGTATATGAACAACTATGAGAATGTGGACCATGTGTATTGTGAATGGTGTATTGTATTTATTTGTTACCTGCCATAACTGAATAGGCACTATCAACATAGATGTGTTTGCGTGTGTATGAAATGT